AGAAAAATTTGAATAAAAACTGTTTATAGGTTATTACTATTTTAAAACATACAATCTATATAGTTTTGAAAAATATTTATGGGTTTTTTCAATCAAATGGTTTCCAAATTTAAAAATAACTATTACTTACTTAAACGATATTACCTATCTCCGTGTGCAATTCAGGCTTTAAATCACATATCGTAACATTTTACGAACTTATTATTTATGAGCTATTGATTTCGCTCAACCAATAAACTATCTATAATTGGTTTTATAATATGTAAGAAAGCTGATATTCATTATCGTGATGAAATAATAGGGTTGTTCATTCTAGTAAAAATGTTTTACAATGAAATTAAAAACAAATGCAACACCGTCTCGGTAATAACTTACTGACCTAATTTCGATATTTTTGATTAATTTGGGTTGACCAACGGATACAATGATACACGATTTTCTTGCTATACATCAACGGTGTTTCGTTGATAAATCGATTGCTCAGACTATTCAATAGGCAAATTAAACGACCAATTAAAATCAACCGTTAGTCCAACTGTACTGTTTCATTAAATTATGATACTTTTATGTTTTGTTCAAAGACAATATAAACTTAATAAAATATTAAACCAAAAATTTATCATAATGGAGAAAGAAAACCAATGGCTTTACCCTTGTTATAAATATATAATAATAATAAACGTTTTGTGAGCTACGTGACTTCGATCTAAACGATGTGATATTGAAAATATGTGCGTACTAACCGTTGTGCTCTACTAACCGGTCTCCAAAAATTTCAGATTTCACATAATTTTATTCCATGGGAAATGTTCGGACCTTATATGCTCACTATCTATAATATTGTCGATAAAATGTAAATACACCACTGTTATTTTGTTTTTGTATTTCTCATGCTAATCCGTCAATCTTATCACATTATATGAATGCAATGACGTTAGTATGTCTATCAATTTAACCACGCTTAATACGATATTTTATTGGTATAATTTGTTAAATAGGTACTATTATACCACTGCAGACTTAAAAATTAACATACTAAATCAATTAAAATGTAAAAACAACAACATCGTTAAATAAATCTATATAGTCAATTTTATCGGAGTTATTCAATATTATAAGCTCTCAATTATAAAGTTATGAATGATTATTACACTAGAAAACCAAACAAAATACTTACGAGTATAATATATTATGTATGAATAAATAAACGGATATTTTTCCGTTACTCTTTTTTATTTATTTCTCCACGTAATGGCGGATTTGTGATATAGTCACACGAATATGTCAAGTCAGTCAGTTGTAGAAATGGACTAGTGGAACAAGGGTAGATGCAATATAGGAGAGTTAATTGCATCTCAAGTTATTCATGTCAGCTAACCAAAACTCGTCTGCTGCACCCAACAGATGTATCTGACTAGGTTTTTGGAAAAATAATCTATCTGAAAACAAGAACGATCGAGTTGCTCGCCAACTAAATAATTATGTTTATATTTACACTCTTTCATACAACCCTTACAACAAATAAGTGATGTAATTCTAAAAAAAAATCAATTGATATATTATACATATATATATATAATGAGATTTTTAAGTGTTTCCTTTTATTTTAAATTATCATTTTCTTTATCATATAATATACACTATGTAGCTTGTACTTTTAGATATATTGGTTTGATCTGTCAATCCATATTATTTAAATGTATTTAAATCATTGTTTGATAAAATATATTTAAAATATTATTTTATTATGGACTTTTGATATTTACAGAGACACAATATACAGTTTAATAAATATTAAATAAGTATTTTAATATTTTAATAAATAAAACATCAAAAACGTAATAAAGTTAAAAGTGAAATTTTACTGAATCGTTTAAAGCTAAATTAATTTATATACATTTTAAATATTTTTAATAAAACATATAAAATATATTGAATAATTATAAGATATAACATAATTATACGAATATTTATTATTATTAAAAATAATTTAAGTTCAGAATAGATATACCACTCAACAAATAAGTTTTCTTAAATTCAAATTCATATAAATAAATTTAATTTAATTGTCGGGAAATATTTCAATACATCAATATCTTAGAAAAAGAAACAAAAATATTTATTGTAAGCTATATAACGATTGCATAGAATATAATTATACTACATTAGCAATGTATAATTATTTATTACGATACAACAGATTCATTCATAATATATTATTATGATAAAATTTTAAATTAAAATATTAGCAAAATATTTAACAAAAAATACTCGTAAATATATTTATTTATTTTAAGTAGGTATCAAAAAAGTTGCATTGTCTTTAAACAATAATTATTTTTATAAAAAAGAAATGTTCATTAAATAATATGTATTTTTGAATTTCAGTGACCCTTTATAATTAAATATATTTTTAATCATGACTTATCATGTTAACCCTTTATAATACACAGATATTATAATAATTTAATATTTAAATACACACACATACATATATATTATGTATACATTATATATACATGAAATTATTAAAATTGTTTATGATATTTTTTAATATTCGTAATATGTTTTTACCTGACATTTTCAGATTCCAAAGCATGATACCATATTTATTATTTATTATATGTATATTTTCTGTAAATTCCTTCACCTTTACAATAAAAAAATATCAGAAAATTATTTTAGCAAACTATGCAAATCAAAGTATCAAAGTACAAATATTCGATTATTTTTTATGTAAAATAATAATAATAACTGTATAAATCTAAAGTACTTCTGGAAAAACCAAAAATCCCATGAGATCTATTTTCTAGAAACACAAGTATGAAAAAAATAATGGTTTATTCATGAAAACGTGATAGATAGAAATCACAAAAAAAAATTCATCCAATATTTGTATCGAGGCTAACATAATATTATAATTTAAAAATAATTTGTTATTTAGTTAAATACACTTAATACCACTGTTTTAATTTAATTTATACTTTTGTAGTAAAATAACTAAAATATTAAAAGGTAAACGTATATAATTTATAAAATATGCATTTCACATTTTACATTATACATTTTTAATAGAATAAATTGTAATGTTACGTCTTAAATGTTAAATATTTTTATAGGTACATTTACCACCTGTAAAGTTATTTCAACCTTTTTTTTTTTTTTTACTTCGTTGATTTTTAAATTTATTTGAAGTTATTCAAAGTTATTTCATACCTTCGAGTAATTTAACTTCCTATTTATGCCTTGAAATATGATTTAAATAATTAACAATTACTAGAAAGAATTTAACACATAGTTTCAAAAAGTAATGATATAAATAAAATGGCTAATGATATTCCATCATAAAATGATAAAATGTAGAAATGTAGATAGTAGTTTTTTAAAAATTTAATTTTATAATTAAGAATTCAGTTTTTTAAATATATTTATTATTATTAGTATTTTTTTTATTTATTTATTTATTTTTTTTTAATATTATCATTTAATATATGTATACTCTTAAATTAAAATCCAAAATATAACTGATTTGTTTTATTACTATTACACTTAATATTTTTTCAGTAATTCCACTTTTATACATTTGCATAAACACTATAACCTATAATACTTTATTATGATTTAAGTTAAATTACCACTACCCAGTCTATATTAAATATTCATGTATTATTATCAATTCAGTTTGTATTATAATAAGTAGCATGATTGATGATGAGCTCGATGTTGAAATATCGTATTTACTTATGCGTATTAAATCCATCATATATTTTTGTTACATAATTTAAATGTATTATTATCTCGTAAATTGTAAGTATCGTGTACGTTTTCACCCTATAATAGCCATTAAATATAATTTAATTTACCGATAAAAGCAAATATGTAATGAATTATCATGAATATAATATTAAAATACTATGAAAAAAGATAAAATTATTCTTAAAATAAACAATTTTATGCTCAATGTTTTATACAAAATTTAATTATTAATAAATTACTAAAATGTACTCTGAAACCTAAAATTTACGATATAATAAGAAACATTTTTGATTTTATTTATAAAATATATTTATCTTTATCAGATAAAATTATATTTGTATTTCCTCGATCTATTTTATTAGATTACAATGAATGAAAAATTATAACAAAATTTTCTTTGGCTTACAATATTTAAAAATTATGTTTTCATTTCTTCAAAATAATATTTAAAATATGCTGCAAAATGTTATAATATTATTATACACACTAGAAACGTGTTATACATAAATTTATGCACGAATACATAGTTTTACATCACATGAGGTTTTCGCTATCTACCTATAGTTACATAATATACATAATATCATGATAATAAATGATTTAAATTAGTTTTCACCAATTTTTTTTTTTTAATTTGTTTATTAAATCAATAAAAAAGTATATGTTAATTTCATTATTACTATTACCGTATTGCATTTATTCAAAGTAAAACTACTATTCAACATAAAACTATGGAAATAAACATGATTTTTTTATTTTAAAGAATACATATTAATATTTGTGTAAGTTATTTAATTTGATTGTAAAAAATCAGTTTTTAATCTCCGTTAACCATTTGGATGATTTAAAAATTCCAAAAATAACTTTATATCATCCCATCTTTAGGACAAATTATGTTTTTAATACTTTATATCATATAATTGTGCACTTCCGTGTAAATAATTTAATATTGTCTGGAGCAAATTTATTCCGGTAGTCACTTTTTATGTAGTTTAACCGTATGTTTCATTTATTTAATCTAGTATAATATCGGTATATTAAACTAGATTAAATATCTTATTTATGAATAAATTTTCAATTATTTATCATAACGTACAATATGAATATATAGTAACTTAGGTAGATATATAATATAGTTATTATAGGTAATTATATTTTATATATGAGATTGTATGTTTAAACTCTCCTATTAATGCAATAAAATCATTATCTCTTAGTAATTGAATTGCTTTTTGTTTGTTTAGTTTCAGAATTTGCTGAATGTCAAATATAATATTCTTTTAATTGGAAGATTCTGCCAATGCATTAAAGTAATAGTATCAGGTTAGTCAATTATTATTATTATTATGTATCCAATTTTAGAACTTAGTAGTATATTATTTTATCATTAAAACGAGTAAATTAACAACCCAGTTATTCATTGTTGTATTTAAACTCTGCGTGGGAAAATAAAAATATTGTTTTTTTAAGCTAATTATTATTTAGTGATAACGTGTGATGAGTAAAAAATAAAACTATATTTTTAATAACTAGTTTCCAAAACTTTAATAGTTTTTATAACAATATTAACCCATATGTACGTGCGTAATACACGTTGTATACACGTGACTATATGGAAGGCAATTAGATAGCTTCCAAACAACATATATACAACTCATCGTTCATTTGTTGTAGAAGGTGCAGGTGGTAGAATGTCTAAATCATGGTTAGAAACTTGAAATGTCTAAAACACTTTAGGATTGAATCAATTTTAGGTGAAAGTTGTTTGTTTCAATATTAATGAATGCTGTTGAAACGTGTCAAATATACGTGTACACTGTACATGTTAGGTTAATGAAAATGAAAATTCTAAGAATCACGCATAATATTTATTTATTTTTTTTTTTATTATTATTGAAGTAATCTAAATTTTATACATGTTTTTGTACAATAAATAGGTTTGATAAATGACAGAGAAAAGTAGTTAATATGAATCATAAGATTAGGGATGATACTCAGTAGGAACACCCTATAAAGTGAAAATAATTTTTTTTTTTATTTTAATTTGAAGGTGTTACCTGTTATAGCAACATCCAGCACTTATACAATACTTGTACATTATAACTTCATAATTAGTTAACATTGAGTTATTTTAAATACAATATATAAATATTTAGGTACTTATAAATCATTCTATAAGTTTAAGATAGCAATTATCTGATAAATATCGATCAAGTAAAATTTAGTAATTGGGTCTGCTTAAATTTCACATAATAAACTATAGTATAGTATTATTTAATTTCTGAAATTATGTAAAGAAAATTTTCGACATTTTTATAACATTAAAAACATTAAATTACTCAAACACAAGTATAATATGGTAAATACAATACTGATTTTATCAATAAAATAAAGTTTAATCTATATTTTATAAATCATTATCGTTATTTTTTTATTATTATTGTTATTGTTATTAAATACAATTGTTTTACTTATTTAAAATATAGCATCGTACTGATTGTAATCTATCAGCTATTAAAAATATATTTTTTTAAATAAATACATAATAATATTTTACTCTTATTTAAGAACATTGACATTATTGTTGTTCAATTTGTATGGCAGCAAATTATTTGTTTACCACAGGACATCCTGAATTTAATGAGCTTTGTAGTTTCTTGGAAAGTTATTTAAAGTTTGATTCTTGTTTCAAAATTCATATAATATATTATTATATACAATACAATTTTGAATAATAAAAATCTAGTTTACGTGAATTGTATAAAATAATATAAATTTAACGCGTAGAATAAGTATAAGTTTTATTCTAATATTTACATTTTTATACATAATAACCATCAAATTTTAATTCATTCATTACATTAAACAAAACTATAAGTATAAACAACTTATTATAATTACGTTTGTTATGAATTGTATAAAATACAATTATTTATTTTTATTATTCAATAATTTGTTTCATTTATTTATCTCAAATTCTAAATAAGCCAGAACACTTAAGTTTTACTATACAATAAATTAAATAAGTGTTGAAACTTACAATTATGTTGAAAAATATAACCATTTTTTTTTTTTTTTAATCATCTCAATAATATGCTTTGTTTGTTATTAATTTCTTGATGTTCATAAATTAACAAATTACGTATTATACGTAATAGCATATATAGATATAACCTAAATTCGTTTAGAAACATAAAAACTGTTTTAAGATTGAAATTATTCAAACGCTTTTGTTAAAAAAAAAAACATAGGGTTTGACAAACTCTTAACAGAAAAGTGGTTTTGAGGTTTTTAAATGAAATTTTAGTCAAACGTAGTGTTGAATTTATAATAACGATCGGTATTCGAATAGACCGAACAACACCAACGAATATTTTGCTAAAACACATAATTCTTTTCTTATTTGCTTTGAAACCAATCCAACTTTGTAAATAATATAAACATAATATCGTTGCAGTATAATATGAATATTAGAACAAAAAAAAAAATAAATAAATAAATAAATGAGAAAAAACTATAGAGAGTATGACGATAAAATGAAGAAATGCAACAGCGGTGCTGTGACAGGTGGAAGCGGGAAAGGAAAAACTGGCTTTTCGTAGCGTAAAGTAATTTTGAAAATGGATACACCGGACTGGCAACACGGCGCCGCTCGTTAACCGCAAATTTTACATACGAACATCCACATAGTACTACCGAGTCATCAATTTCTTCGCGGCTATTTATTACGATACAGTTTTTAACCACCGCCCCGAAGTTACCACGCTGCAGTTTCACTGTCTCCCCCCGCAAAACTATGTTATGATAGCGGCGATTTCACAATAAGGAGGACAAGTTACACTGAGTAATATATGCCGCAAAACTTTGTTATACAAAACGACATAATGTGTATACAGCTATTGTGGATTATAATTTTCACAATTTACGTGGTTTAAAATATAAATACCTAATATCGTGCTATACTTTAGAGAAAATACATTTTATTAATGACATTTTTAATAGAGTTTACTAAAGCCTTGAATTCATATATCTATATAGTCAATATTTTAATGTTAAAAATGTAAATTTTTGATATCGTTTTCCCGGAAAAAAAAATAAGAGAAAGGGCATTGTTATTTGTGTAAAAAATTAATTTATTAGATTATATATGCACCATTAATTTATGTTTAATATATTATGCATTTTTATCATATCTTATTAATTTTTTTTATTTTAAATAAAGAATCAATTATTTATTATAACCATTAAATTCAGTTTTTAGTTTGTGTAAATTTAAATTGACACAATATACACGTAATGTATAGAAGCATCAGAGTAAAATAGTACTAACATAGAACTTAAAATAATATGAGGGTGTATACTATTATTATTAGATGAAATATAAAATTTTGTAAGTTAATAATATTACTACTATTATTTATTTTTAAATAGGCTCTGGACTTTTAATTCACTATAAATTATAATATAATACAGGAGTGTATTGTATAACATAATATTATAGTTTCTCGTTAGGCGTCACGTGGCGTAAGTCGTATCGCTGCAGGAAGAGTTGAACGTGTTTATTCGAATGTGAATAAAATGAAAACTGTTTACAACTTCGGGGAATGTTCTGAGATAAATATTGATTAAGGCGACAAATCGTGAGAGCTTAAGTATACCAAATGCTACGTTACAGATGCAATATGGGTGATAGAAAAAGATTTGATTATCATAAATATTGTTTCGTTCATTTTTATTTTATAGTTGATTTTATACAAGTATACATTCACAAATACACCGTTCTCAACCTTGTCAAACGATAGACGGTAAGAGGTAGCGGCCATTAAACACGTAGTCCTGTGCCTTATCTGTAGACCCATTTAACAGAATTACACTCCTCCGGGGAACACAAAGGAAACAAACTGTATACAAGGCTTTCTCCTGTTTTATTTTTTCTCCGCTGTGCTATAAATGTATATACGTGCCTGCAGAGGTGGGGTAGAACGCCAAGCTCATCGTAGGGGTCCTTAAAATAGATAAAGGACAATTTACTACTACTATTTGTAGCAATGCCATTAATCAGATGATCTTTTATACGACTTAAAAGGAGATGAGAAAAAGGTAAAATAAAAAGTAAAATTAAGAATATACAACAATTGGATGAATCTTAATTGGATTTCTTTGGAGAAAAACACAAAATGATGGTGCGTAGATAATAGAAATACATAGGCTGGGTAATAGTATATACTTAATAGATTTTATATTGAATCTTGTTTCATGACGTTGTTTAGTAGTAAATTGAAATTTATTGCTGTGTAACAAAATCTTGTTATTATACAAATCATAATCATAGTTGTAATAATAAGCAGTTGATTAATGAAACGTAATTTTGTGACCTATTTTAGAATTTTAGTCAAGTAAAAATTTGATATTTTATGTTATATGTATATTTTATGATTTATGGTATAATTAGATTAACCTTTATAAAATTATTACCAACAATGAAAATAAATAATAATTTTCAACATACAATGTATGATAATAATATTAAATCTACTACTCAAAGTCTCAAACATACATATAATTGACCACTCAAATTTTAATCATATTAATAATTTAAAGAAATATCCACACATAATACTCAAATTTGACAAATCAAAGATAATTTTTCATCCATAGAAAAGACATTTCAATATTTATTTTTTAATTAATATTTTGTTTTTACAAATTTCTGTAATTGTTTATATTTAATAAACATTTAAAATAACCATCATTAGTATAAACCACCTGCATTTGTTGATACATAACAATACACTAAATATTTTCTTTTTTTTTCTTTTATTAATAACACATTAACAACGGCAAGCAGTCATTAGAAATATCAGAAAAAAAATTTACAATGATAAGCTTATAAATATGAATTATTATTATGTATATTAATTTAAATAACAAATATTTTTAAATGCATTCAAGTCATTTTAATTAATGAAAACTACGGTATATGGTCTGTTTATGCTATTTATTTTGTATATTCAAGATATTTTTTATACACAAGATTTATATACAAATATTATATCTAAAATTAATTTTTTGGATTCTAAGCTATTTAAGTTTTTAATTTGATTTCTAGAATAAAATAATATTTTAATAATTACTTTCGTAGTCTGTAATTACATACGAATCAAACTATATAAATTAATTTTAATGATTAAATATTATAATTAACTTATACGAAACTCCTTGTACTTATTAACTAGTTAGATTTAAATGACGTAGTTCTAATTATAAAATGATTATAAAGTGTAGAAATTGAAAATGGAAAACTATTTTTCAGCTTGCCTTTT